CACTGGGGTCCCAATAACCCCATGCAACGCTACAGGCTGGGGGAGGAGTGGCTGGAAAGCTGCCTGAGGAAAAGGATCTTGGGGTGCTGGTGGACAGTTGGCTGAACACGAGCCAGCAGTGTGCCCTGGTGCCCAAATATGCCAACAGCATCCTGGCTTGTGTCAGGAATAGTGTGACCAGCAGGAGCAGGGAGGTGATCGTGCCCCTGTACTCAGCACTGGTGAGGCCACACCTGGAGTACTGTGTTCAGTTTTGGGCCCCTCACTACGAGAAGGACATTGAGGTGCTGGAGCATGTCCAGAGAAGGGCAACGAGGCTGGTGAAAGGTCTACAGGAGAAGTCCTAAGAAGAGCAGCTGAGGGAGCTGAGGCAGTTTAGTCTGGAGAAGAGGAGGCTGAGGGGGGACCTAATTGCTCTCTACAGCTACCTGAAAGGAGGTTGTAGTGAGGCAGGTGTTGGTCTCTTCTCCCAAGTAACTAGCAATAGGACGAGAGGCAATGGCCTCAGGTTGCAGTGGGGGATGTTTAGTTTGGATATTAGGAAAAATTTCTTTACTGAAAGAGTGGTCAGGCATTGGAATGGGCTGCTGAGGGAGGTGGTGAGGTCACCATCCCTAGAGGTGATTAAAAAACATGTAGATATTACACTTCAGGACATGGTTTAGCAGGCACGGTGGTGTTGGGTTGACAGTTGGACTTGATGATCTTAGAGGTCTTTTCCAACCTTTATGATTCTGTGAGATGATGCATAGAAGTATATGGGTGAAGGAGAGAAATGTAGCAGAGACATGTAGAGAGCAACGTGACACGGTGACTGAAGTACACTAGGAAGACCTCCTTGGTGTGAGTATTCCTGAATGAATAGCACTGCCAAAGCCAGAGGAAAGGATATTATTGCAGGACAAAGAGAAGCTGAAGCAAAGTCTTAGCAAGTGTAGGTGAATATCAGAAGGTGAACCTTGGGGTGCTGTTTCATGATAATTTGAATTCTAGTGGTGGATTGTCACTGAAGGGGGTACCATGTAGAAAGCATAACCTGGGTGAAAATTTGAAGTGGCCAAAACTGCGGAAGACAGATCCTGCCAGTGAGTGACAGATGGTGGTGTTAATCTCCCCAGCGACCGAGAATTAGCATAGCTCAAAGGCAAAATGGGAGTTCAGTTTAAGCCATGTTGTGCTTAATGGTCAGGCCTAATGTTGCACACTGAGAAACATGTACTCAATTTTATTCTAGAATATTAAAGAGGTAGAAGAAAAATACTTTTTTTTCACATATTAAATCAATTTTACATGCTTTCATTTCAGAGAGTGAGCTTAATTCTGAGGTTTGTCATCATCTGTGATCTATTTATTAGTCTGGCAGAAATTCAACACTAAAGAAAGGATCATTTATTAGTTTTTTTCCTAATGTTAAGGTTTTGTGCATTTTCCCAGGATTTGTTCTCTTTGTAACATTTGTCCTGCTGGCAGAATTGCGTTTTCAATAGATTGAAAACATTCAACAGGTTTGTTCTTGTCTTTCAGTAGAACTTTAAGAAGTAACCTCATAACTTAGAATTATACTAATTTTTTCAAAATATTTGTCTCCCCCTGATGGTACACAAAAAAGCAGACCTGTGGTCTAGATCTATTGTTAAACCTTCCTGACTAGCATTGAGAAGACCACAATCTGAAGGGTTTCTGTCTCAGGCATCCCTGTTTATTGCATACTAATGTTTGTGAAAAAAAGCAGTATTTTGTTTTACACAGAATATTCCTGTGGTCTAAAATGACATATATGTAGCTCTGATTTTCTTGGGAAGCTCCATGAGGAAAGCTGGAAAACCTTTAGTGTAATAATTTCTTAATTATAACTGATTTGAGATTAACGCTACTGCGCTTTGTAATTGATTACAAGTCTTAGCATGTTGTCTCTGCTGTGTCACAAAACAGTTACCAGTTCAGCTATGGAAATGTTTTTGGGTTCTTTTATTAATTAGAAAATTACTGTGTAGATGGTTTCAATGAAGCGCTTGTCTTTCAAGTACGTACTTGTCTTGCTGATACTTAGACACCAATGGAAGCCAATCTAAGGTAGAAATCCCCTATAAATGCTGGTGTTCTTGCGAGACAAAGGACTCGGGTATCAAGTCTGTGTTCTCTTTAAGTTTCAGCGAATCTGAACCTGGAAGTTACCTGCTGCCATAGTAGGACCTTGTCAATAAGTATACCTGGAGAAGTACTTTCTTTCTTCTAAGACTTTGTTTCATTAGTATAGGAAAGAGCAATCTGAAATATTTTTATAGCTTCTTGTAATTGTTGAATGGATGAAATATTTGTATTAATAAAATCTTAATGAAGGAGGACCAGGAATATCCAAACTTGTTTATTCATCAGAGGTTCTTCTATTTCAACCAAATTTTTGTTTTTATTCTTGTAGGTGTGTATCCTTCACAACAATTAGAAGTATGGATTTTTACCATAGAGAATAAAGGAGAAACGATTGTGCCTTATTACTACTAATTTCCCGTCTTTACTGATTGTAGTGATACTAAACTCATTTACCTTCAGGAAGGATGAAATATGCAAAACTTTTGCAGTGTTTGAATGGCATGAGTTGCCATAGGTCTTCTGCAGCTGTAGAGTTCAGAGTCTGTGGTCTGTAAAGCCAAGACTTGTGTTCATTGGGAAAGAAAAATACCTATATAGAGGGCTTGAGAACATATCATTTAAGAAGATAATAACTATACTAGGGTTCATTTCATCTTGAAATTAAAAGAAATTTTTGACCTGTCAAAGCTGTAAGGTGGACTAAATGTTGTCTTAGGACCCCTTTCAACTATGCCAGTTCTTTGTTTTTAGAACCGTTTTTCAATGGGGGTTGGAGGAGAAAAAAAAACAACTACTTTTATAAGGCTGAAGAAAGGAACTCTTACAGCTTGTTTGCTAGCAGTATCAGGGAACCAGATTTTATGTCACAGGAGAACCTACCTCTTCTGTTTTCCAATCCGCAACCAGGCTGTGAGACTGCAGTGTAGCTAATCCTAATCTATTTAGCTGTTCTCATTTTCCAGTTTTACCATATTCATGGCTGTTGTCTGTGTCCACCTAATGATTTATACCACATATTTTTTACTGAGCATTTTTGCTTCCTTTTAGTTTCATTGTGTTGCTCTTAGCCTGTAATATCACAGCAGGTGGCTACTGCCTGTGTTTTGCTTCTTGCATGTTTAGCGTCAGTTGGTTCTGTGGCTTTGTCTGTCTTAGAGCAGAAATCAACCAAGACACTTGAATATTTTTTGTCAGGACTCAGGAGAGAGTTCCCTGCAATTATTGCCAACTTAGCATCTTATAAAATAATAAAAATAATAAATCTTT